AAAAAGAGTGGATGAAGATAGAGAAAGACAAAGCTGACACACTGAGGGAGATAGCGAATGATAAAAAAGAATTAAAAGTTGGCATTTTATCATTTTTAAATAGAAATTAATAACACTGTACAGCACTCGGCTGGGTATTGGACCAAACCAACTTTTTTAAAGAGATTGAGCCATAAGTAAAAAAAAGTTAGTTCTCCGTTTTTCGAAGTTAGCCTTCGAAATCGAGATATGGGCCTTCGAAGTTCGAAATTGGACCTTTGGCAAAAAATTATTTTTAATTATTGCATGTAAAAACCAACAAAAAGTAAAAATACAGACGTGGTCCGCCTTTATATGGTATATAAATTTTTTTGCGAAAACTCATATTACAGGTGCTATAACGGGTCAAAGTCAGATGTTCGAAAAATGAAAAACTTAATATTTCAGACAATTTTGAACCGATCTTAAAAGGATTCACATCGTTGTAAAAGTTATTAAATCCGCTTTCTTTCGATATGCATATTTGTATACTTCGTATATAAAATTTTTAGAAAAAACACATTTAAATGAAAAAATACCTTTTTTTATAAAAAAAAAATATTTTAAACAAAAATATGACTAACCGATTTTTTAAAAATTGGCGTCGTTGTAAAGGTGATTAAATCCCCTTTCTTCTGATATGCATATTTCTAAAAATCGGTTAGTAATTTTTTTGTTCAAAATACTTTTTTATAAAAAAAGTTCTTATTTCCTTTAAATGTGACTTTTCTCAAATTTTTTAGTATAAAGTATACAAATATGCATATCAGAAGAAAGGGGATTTAATCGCCTTTACAACAATATAAATTGTTTGCAATATAAGGAAATTAATTTTTCGAAGACCTGAACTTTGACCCCTTATATAGGTAATATAGGTCTGCACAAAAAAATTGATTTAACATTTAAATAAAAGGAGGACTACGCCTATATTTTTAGGTTTTTAGTTATTTACATACATGCAATAATTTAATATAATTTTTTACCAAAGGTCCTATTTCAAACTTCGAAGGCCCATATCTCGATTTCGGAGGCTAACTTCGAAAAACGGAGAAATCACTTTTTTTTCATATGACTCACAAAAAGTATATACAGTGGACGGTATTTTTATAGATAAATAACAAAAGAAATTTAGCTCGAAAAAAAAAAAATGTAAATGAATTAAATTAACAAATAAAAATTGTACTCACTAAAATAATTGCATAATCCTTGCCTTATTTCTTCAGCTGAGGGTTGATTGTCTCCAACTATCGTAACATATTCAGGATTTTCGAGATTTCTGTTCACTTCTTGCAATCTCTCCAACCACATGTCATTTATAGTGTCGTTCATTTCATTTAAATAATTGTGCAAGACGCAGCAGGCTCTAATAATGATGGGTGCCTTCCCAATTCGGTTGTCTAAACCTTTTCCAACACGACGGAATCGTCCTTTCAAGTGGCCAAATGCATTCTCAACTACTCTTCTGCACTTTGAAAGCTTATAATTATAGAGTTTTTGTGTTTCAGTTAAGGCCATTGAAAACGCGTATGGCTTCATTAAGGAGGTGGAAAACCGAAACGCAGAATCTCCAATAATGCATATAGGCATTTGTACTCCACCTATTTCTTTCTTACTGACCTTCAGTAATTCGTTCTCCTCCATTACTCGCTTCATTAACGATGCATTATATATCTGCGAGTCATTGCATCGTCCAGGAGCACCAATGTTCACATATAAAAACCGATATCTGAACATATATAGAAATAATTAATACATGCTTTTTAGAAAAAAACAACAGGATGAAAGTTAAATAACCTGTAATCCACTACAGCTAGTAGAACAATGGAATACCATCCTTTATAGTTGTGGTAGTCGGTTGCATCGGCCTAACTTCGATGTGGCACCCATCTGAATATATATGTATGCACGTATATCTTTGTTTTTATATAAATTAGTTGCATTTTTAACTTTCTTACCAATTGCTCCAAGGCATTGGGGAAAGCCGAGACGGTCAAAACCATCAACACAGTCTTTTAAAGTTTGTGGAGTCGGTGGTAATTTCTTTATGTATTGCGCTGACAAAGCTTGCCAGACTTCCTCGCAAAACTCCCACAAGATTGTGCACACGGTCGATATTCCAACACCAAATAGTTCGGAAACCACTCTGTACTCTCCAGACGATCCCAGCGTAAATAGAGCTATCGCAACGCGTTTTTGCAATGGAATCGCGTTGCGCCAGTTTGTGTCGGCTTTGTGCAGGTTTTTGAGGAAGCCACAGAGTGTTTCAAAACTAGTGCGGTTCATGCGGAAGTGCGTCTTAAAGAAATGGTCATCGTTGCAATTGCAATTAACTTCCCAGAAAGAAGACTGCCGATTCTGTAATAGAGGAAGTATCATTTATAAAAGGACAAGAACTGATTACTTATAATCTGATTTACCAATTTCCAGAGGGATCTCTGAGTAGCGTTCCTCCGCAGTAACCCGTAAAGCAATAGCTGCTGTCTTCGCAAATGTTGCAAAATTATGAAGTTTTTTTCTTTTCTTTTTTTATATAAGGCCATTGAACTTGCGTAGCTTGCCAGCACTGACTGCAAAACTTGTATATTTGCAGTATACGCAAGAAACAGTGCGCTTAAACACTTATTGTTTTCCATTTTACCAATTTATTTTAAATAAACAAAAATTCTTTTAAGACAGCTGACAGCCACTCGTTAATCGAGCAGCTGATTGTGTGTGAAACACAAAAATCTAATACTTAATTAAAAACTTAATTGACTCAATTAATTTTCTGTCTGAAAACAGTATAAAGCCAATTGAATTGTCTATCGTCGGCAAACTCAAACGCAAACAAACGAAAACCAACATGGGTTGCCGTAGTGTGTTTGCCAGCGCTGCACAAAATGGAGTTTGTTACACTATTACACAAAACCCCGCAGGGTCGCAATTGTTTATGAAATCTATTACAATACATTTTGTGTTGTTTACATTTACCACCAAACGAACAATGAAATATTAAATGAAAAATTAGAGTAGTTTAGAATTTAGAAAATATATGATTGCTTCAGTCTCCCCTTAGGATGCTGAGATCGCCGCGATGAGGCAGCCTACTTCCGAGTCTTCCGTCGACGCCCCCGTCGGCGTATGATGTTGACACGAACCTCGCGAGGCACTTACATAAGGAGTCAGCATTGATGTGTGGTACTAAAGTTATTCGCAAATGAAAAGACAAATAATTTTTATTTGGTATAAAATACGTCTTGCCTGTTTGGCTATTTATTCAAGGAGGAAAATGTCATAATACATTTGACAGTTATGTTCTGATCTGAAGATGGTGTAAAACAAAATGAGTAATAATGTCAATGTCATAATTCTATTACGATATTTCAACACTCCCACTTAATTGATATTCACATTAATGAATTTACATTATTTATCTTAACACAGTCGTATTCTGTAATATAAAATCAAAAAAATATGTTCAATCCCATTTCTTTTAAACAAAATGAATGCTTTTGTATTGCTACAGTATTGGTGAGATTTTCAGCAACTATTAAATCAGTTGAAATTTTTGTAACCTTAATATTATGCTTTAAACACAATCTCTTATAAAATTATGCCTTATAGAAATGTGTTTGTTCTTAGACTAAAAGTTCCAGTTTCAGTTAAATCAACGGCTGCTTTATTGTCGCAGAAAATTTCAAGCGGTGACCAATCTCCACCAAGTATTTCCTTCTTCAATTGGCTTAGCCAAAGTGCTTCCTGAGTGGCTGCTGATAAACTCATGTACTCAGATTCCGCTGTACTCAATGCAACAGTCGGTTGCTTCTTTGTAGCCCATGATATTGCTGCACCTTGCCATAGAAATGCATACCCAGTGCATGATTTGATATCGACAAAACTCGATGCCCAGTCTGCATCGGTGTAGCCACATAATTCATCGAATTTCGTATCTAGAGCATATGTCAATTTGTAGTGCAATGTTCCCTTAAGGTAGCGCAGAATGCGCTTTACAGCTGTCCAATGAGCCTGCCCATGCTGTTGGTTAAATTGACTTACGCTTGCAACACTAAACGAGATATCTGGCCGCGTGCATTGCGCCAAATACAATACACATCCCACTGCTTCCTGATATGGCACATTCGAAACGATTTTGGTTTCTGCCATATCCTTCTTATGTTTTTGATTCGGATCGCTTGGAATTTCACGGGATCACAATGGAAGATGTTGAATTTTCGCAAAATATCTTCAATGTAGCTCTGTTTATCTAAGCTAAGTGTTCCAGCTTCACGATTGTAGTTGATGCGAATTCCCAAAACGTTAGTGGCTGCTCCCAGGTCCTTCATGTGGAAGTTCTGCTACAAAGTACATTAAAGTTCACCTTTCCACTCGTCGTTGTTATAGAATAGTAGCAAATCGTTTACATAGACGGCAATCACAACGAGCGACTTTTCATTTCGACGCACGTGTGTATACACATGAGTCCTTTTTACATCGTACAAAGTCAGCCGCTTCCAAAACACAATTAAGCTTCATGTTCCATTGTCGGCTTGCTTGCTTTCGTCCGTAAAGCGATTTAATATGCATTCAAACGCGACCACTACCGACATCAAATACCTCTGGTTGGTGCATGTAAATAGTTTCGCTGATATCGCCGTGCAAAAACGCTGCCACTACGTCCATTTGCTCGATTTTCCATCCAAATTTAACAGCCATTGCCATAAGGAAACGAATAGACGTACATCTAACGACTGGTTAGAACGTGAGATTAAAGTCGATTCCTTCACGTTGGTTATACCCCTGTACCGAGGTACTTGGCTGAATACCTACACTCACATCCTCCCTTAATTTGTTGTTTAAGTACACTATTTCCCCTTGCATCTTACTAATATTTCACTTCCGGTCTAATGAATTTATTTTGGTACTCCATAAAATAATTATTCATTACACCCTCTGCTAGCGAAATCAGAACATTTCCA